TTTTTTTTTTTTTTTGTTTTGTTTTGTTTTTAGACAAAATGTGAGCAACAGCAAGAGAGAAGGGTAGAGGGAGAGAAAGAGAATCCCAAGCAGGCTCCACGCTCAGTGCAGAGTCTGACATGAGGCTCGATCCCCTGACCCTGGGATCATGACCTGAGCAGAAACCGAGAGTCAGACACTCACCTGGCTGAGCCACCCAGGTGCCCCATGAAAGCAGGGTCTTAATGACGGCCCTCTTGCACTGTTGGTGGGAATGCAAACTGGAATGCAGTTGCTCTGGAAAACAGTGTGGAGGTTCCTCACAAAATTAAAAATAGACCTACCCTAGGACCCAGCAATAGCACTGCAGAATTTACCCAAGGGATACAGAATTACTGATGCATAGGGGCACTTGTACCCCACAATGTTTACAGCAACACATCAACAATAGCCAAATTATGGAAAGAGCCTAAATGTCCATCAGCTGATGAATGGATAAAGAAATTGTGGTTTATATATACAATGGATTACTACTTGGTAATGAGAAAGAATGAAATCTGGCCATTTGTAGCAACATGGGTGGAACTGGAGGGTGTTATGCTAAGTGAAGTAAGTCAGGCAGAGAAAGATGCCAGGTTTTCACTCTTATGTGGATCCTGAGAAAACTTAACAGAAGGCATGGGGGGAGGAAGGGAGGCTCTGAGAGAGGAGGAGGCAAACCATAAAGACTCTTAAAGCCCAAGAGAATAAACTGAGGGTTGATGGGGGTGGGAGGCGGGGGAGAGAAGGAGTGGACGATGGGCATTGAGGAGGGCACCTGTTGGGATGAGCACTGGGTGTTGTATGGAAACCAATTTGACAATAAATTATATTATATATATAAAAAAAAGCAGGGTCTTAAAGACATATTTACACACCCATGTTCACAGCAGCATTATTCTTAAGCCAAAAGATTGGAAATGACAGAGCTCAGTGCAAAAAGAATTGGATAAACCAAATGAGGTCTACGCTTATAATGGCATCTTACTTGGCCTTAAAAAGGAAGGAAATTCTGGCACAGGCTACAACATGGATGAACCTTAAGGCCATTATGCTAAGTGACATAAGCCAGTCACAAAAGGCAAATACTGTATGATTCCACTTATGCGAGGCCCCCAGAGCAGTCACATTTATAGAGACAGATAGTAGAATCGGGGTCTCCAGGGGCTGGCAGGGGGAGCAGGGGAATGGGGACTTGTTTACTGGGGACAGAGTTTCGCTTTGTGAGATTCTGGGGATTCCTTGCACAACCATGTGAATATACGTAACACTTAGTGCTAAACCTCATACTTAAAAATGGCTAAGATGGCAAATTTAATGTTAGGCAATTTTTTTTACCACAATTAAGAAGGAAAAAACCCCAAACACTGAAAACAAGCTAGCCCTCACTAGGAGGGTAGTGGCATGCACGGGGGCGATCCAGAAGTGGCTTCTGGAAGTGTTGGGAGGGTGATTTGGAATGCTATCTGCATCCCCAGGAAGGTTTCCAAGCCGCAGATAAGCGGGAGTGGCAGAGGTTTGGACAGAACCTGCCGCCCCCCCACCCCGCCCCCCCACAAGGTTTGTAAGCACACAGGCGGCACTCACTAAGTGCTGGATTGTATGATTACTGATCATCCCTCTGCCCTGCCCCCTCCAGTTCCTTCCTGCCAGGCCTCGTGGGCTGGATCAATCGCTTCTTCTTCTGGCTCCTGTTCACGAGGAAGAGGGAAAGCAGCAACCTCAGCCACGAGATCTTCACCTATGAGTGCCGCTTCAAGCAGCACGTCCAGGACTGGGCCATCCCCAGGTAGGGGTCGCGCCGGCCCGGGCTGCAGGGGGCGGGGTCTGTGTCCAAGGGACCCCCTTCAAGGGTGCCCCACGCAGCCCTGATGCCTGCTCTGCCAACCAGGCTCCTGGTCCTACCTATCCATTATGAGTAGGGGGCAAACTGGAGGCTGAGTCCCCTTCCGGCACCCTTGTGCCAAGCTGTTATACATCTACGGGGACAGCAGCCCAGAGGTGGGTCACGACAGGCTCGGGCGCGGAGTGTGGGGCTTCCTGCCCGGCTTCTTGTTGCTCTGGAGAGCTGTCCCCTACATTCAGTCCCTCGAGGGGCAGCGCCCACCTAGCATGCCAGGGGCTGGGACTCTGCCTTGGGCGGCAGCCCAGGTAAGAACCTAGGTGAGGTCTGTAGCCCCAGCTTTCTCTCTGAATGGTCCCCTCTCTGTCTCTCTCCAGGAACAGGGGGGAAGCGGTGCCCAGGGCTTAGGCGAGACCTCTGTTACAGTGTTCAAGGGCTGGGGCACCACTCTCCCAGCGGGAATATTAGAACACGCGCAAGTGTTGGAATCAGACTGATTTTACTCTGTCAGAAAAGGAAGAGGCCAGGGGTGGGGGGCAGCTGGGGCCGGACACCTGAGAGGAGCCCCTGACTGGGTGGGGGGCCCAGGGCAGGCCCAGGAGCAGGAGGCAGCTCTCCAGCGGAGACACTCAGAGGCTCCATTTCCATGCGGAGGACTTTGAGAGCAACCGCTAAGCGTGGGCCTCCTAGAAGCCGGGAGCCCCCCGTCCCTGGGGGAGGGGGGCAGGCATGCAGAGCCTCGTGTGATGGCTCCCAGAGGCCCTTTCCCGAGGCCCGGGTTCTGCCCCCCTGGGCTGTGTGCAGAGAGAAGACCAAGGAGGCGCTGCTGGAACTGAAGGCTGTGCTGGAGACCCACCCCAAGATGGTGGCCCACTTTCCCGTGGAGGTGCGCTTCACCCGGGGGGATGATATCCTGCTGAGCCCCTGCTTCCAGAGGGACAGCTGCTACATGAACATCATCATGTACAGGTGACTGGCTCGCTGGGAGCGGTGGGGCTGGGGGAGGCAGCCCCTCAGCTGAGAAAGACCCTCCTTCAAGGCCAGTTCAGATGCTGCCCTCTCTAGCGAGACTTCCTTGATCCTGGCAGCAGAAAATAGTCTCTCTTCCTTGCGTTCCTACAACTCCCACTTCCTCCTCAATAGTACTACAATAATTCATATTAATTCATAGGTAATGTTCATGTGAATAGCCACCCTTTGTGAGATGGATGTCATGCAACGGCAATTGCATGCCGTCTCATGTGCCTACCCTAGTTGATGGTTCGGACAGCCTGAAATGCTGTGTTGAAAAGGATTCTGAAGCCAGGTTTAAGTTAAGCAGAGAAGGGGGCCCCTGGGTGGCTCAGTCAGTTAAGCACCTGACTCTTGATTTCGGCTCAGGTCGTGATCTCATGATTCGTGAGTTTGAGCCCTGCGTTGGGCTCAGGGCAGGGACAGGGCCTTACCTCCTTCTGCTCCCCACCAGGCCCTATGGCAAGGACATACCACGGCTGGACTACTGGCTGGCCTACGAGACCATCATGAAGAAGGTCGGGGGCAGGCCCCACTGGGCCAAGGTAGGATTTGCCAGGGAGTGGCTCACAGGGCCATCAGCCTGGCAGCTGCTGTGAGCTTGGGGCCCACCAGAGGGCGCCTCTCTTCCCTGTTCGTCTGCCTGACCAAGGCTCAGAAGTTGGGCTCCAAGGGCTAAGCAAGTCACAGGAAGGAAGCTGACCCAGGCCCAGCTTCCCCCAACATTCATGTTCCAATAGCTCAGTGATTGTATTCCGTGAAGTCTCCCTGAGAGTTTTCAGAGAAATTTCCCATCTCTCATTTTATTCGATTCTCATGGAAACCTCTGTGAGCAGGGTAAGGCAGGAGTCAGTGAGCCCCTTTAACAGATAGGGAAACTAAGAGTCTTCAGAAGTGATGGGACTTACTAGTTAGCAATAGAATTGGGGGCAGAGCCCTCTCCACTGTCACGCTGTGGGGTGGTAAAGGGAATCCAGAGTTTAATGTTAATGCTGTAACACCTTCTGTCTTTACCTTCCAAGAACTTCCTCTCTTCTGTTTGGGTCTTTACATTATGTGTGTACTTGCATGCATGCTTGTGTGTGCAAGCATATGTGTGCACACATACACATGCATGTGTAGGTATGGGTACATGCATTTTGTATGCATGCATGTGTGTGCAGGTAAGTGGATACATGTGTGCGCATTCACGCGTGTGTGTGCCTGGGGGTGGGAGGGTCACGTGTGCAGGCATACAGACACAAGGCTGCCTGTTTGCAGCCCCACTGAAACGTCCGCTCTAGGGAACAAGGTCTGTTGTGTCTGGTTGCTTCCACAGGCCCACAACTGTACCCGGAAGGACTTTGAGAAAATGTATCCAGCCTTTTCAAAGTTCTGTGCCATCCGAGAAAAGCTGGACCCTACTGGGATGTTCCTGAATGCGTATCTGGAGAAGGTGTTCTACTGAAGCAGAAACAGAATAAATTGAGCGAACCCCATCCCATCCCTCAGGTCCACCTCCAGGAGGTTGAAGGTTCAATGTCCCCACTGGCCCGATGGGGAGCAGACCTCTTTCCGCGGGCCCTCTGCCACGGCACCCACAGCTGCTCCCACCCACAGCCGTGAGCCTGGATCTAGGCAGCGCTCCCCACTCTCTTCCTTCCTTTATCCCTGCAACAACCCCATGCAAGGAAGAGCACCCAAATGTCTACATCTCCTTGCGGCAGCCCCCTTCCCCGAACCTACAGTCACCACATTCTTTCCCAGGAAATAGAGAAACCCTGAAATGTTATGTTTCTTGAAGAGGGCAGGCCTTCGGTCATTCACAGCTTCCACCTGCCGGCTAGTTGTCTGTGACTCCAGGGCCCCCGTTAACGTGTGTCTGGGCACAGCAGTCTTGTGTACTGTGTCCTGCCTCCTGTCGCCCTTGAGGGTTTTTCAGATGCCCAGGTGTGTGCCCACCTGCCCTGGGACTGCCCTCTCCCAGTTTCTCCCCGTCCCCGTGACCTCCCATCATCTGACCTTCAAGCATGGCTGCTTCAGGGGATGTCTGGGGAGTGGCACTCTCTTTGCCTTCTTTTAAATAAAGACCAAGAATTGATTCACTCTCTGCGCCCTCCTCTTCATCTCCAGGTAACAGGAGGCTCCCTAATTTCCTGGCTTCCCTCCAGAGCTCATGGGTCTTGAGCCTGCCTGGAAAATGTTCTTCCCATTCCTTTTGCAAACTTAGTTTCAACTTGCCTCTGACCTACCACACTTTGTGATCATTGTTTTGTGAGCGTTCATGGAACATCCAGTAGGTGTCAAGTGCTCAGGGGGATTAAGAGAACATTATTATCTCATAAAAGGATAATATCCATGGTATGTGAGGAGCTCTTAACAACTCAACAACAACAACAACAACAACAACAACAGATGTTTGAATGGGCAAAGGACTTGAGTCGACATTTCCCCAAAGAAGATATCCAGATGGCCAATAAGCACATGAAAAGATGCTCCACATCACTAATCATTAAGGAATGATTAGTTCATTCCCTAATCATTAAGGAAGTGCAAATAAAACCTCAATGAGATATCACCACACCCATTAGGGTCACTGTTGCTAAAACAAACAAACAAACAAAACCAAAAAAACCTCCAAAAAATAACAAGTGTTGGCAAGGAGGTGGAGAAAGTGAAACTGTTGTACATTGTTGGTAGGAATGTAACATGGTGCGTCCATTCTGGAAAACAGTATGGTGGGTCCTCAAAAAATTAAACATAGAATTACCATATGATCCAGCAATTCCACTTCCGGGTATATGCCCAGGACTGAAAGTCGGGCCTTGAAGAGGTATTTGTACTCCATGTTCATAGCAGCATTATCCACAATTGTCTAAAGGTGGAAACAACACAACTGCCCCTAGATGAATGAAGGAATGAGTGCGTAACATACATGCAATGGAATATTGCTCAGCCTGGAAAAGGAAGGAAACTTTGACCTATGCTATGTGGGTGAACCCTGAGGGCATCGAGCTAAATGAAATACACCAGCCACAAAAAGAAACACTGTATGATTCCACTCAGATGGTACCTAGAGTAGTCAACTTCATAGAGACAGAAAGTAGAATGGTGGTTGCCAGGGGCAGGGGAGAGAGAACAGGGAGTTCATATTTAATGGGGACAGAGTTTCAGTTCCAGACCATTAAAAAGTCTGGATGCGGGGCGCCTGGGTGCCGCAGTCGGTTAAGCGTCCGACTTCAGCCAGGTCACGATCTTGCGGTCCGTGAGTTCGAGCCCTGCGTCAGGCTCTGGGCTGATGGCTCAGAGCCTGGAGCCTGTTTCCGATTCTGTGTCTCCCTCTCTCTCTGCCCCTCCCCCGTTCGTGCTCTGTCTCTCTCTGTCCCAAAAATAAATAAATGTTGAAAAAAAAAATTTTTTTTTAAAAAGTCTGGATGCTGGTGCTGGGTGCATGACAATGGGGATGTGCTTGATAATGCCACTGAACTGTAGACTTAATAATAAAACAATAACACAAAACGGTAAACTTTATGTGCTATATTTCTTATTCCAGAAACAATGAAGAAATTTATATTCTAGTTCAGGGAAACAAAATTAACATGCATAGGACATTAAATAGCAACAGCAGAGATAAGAAGTGTCAGGGGAGTGGCACAGTCATGAAGACCCGGCCAGGGCACTTGGACTTCCTCAGGGAGGTTACTTCAGCCAGAACCAAGTTCATGACTATGAGAGCCAGAACGATCCCTTCAGCAGGACCGATTATATAGTTCACAGGTCCCAGGGCAAAACAATTAAAAAATTTCAACAGGTCTCTTGACAGCAGAGAATTAAATTAAACTTAGCATCCTTTTTTAAAAAATATTTTTTAAATATTTATTCAATTTTGAGAGAGAGACAGAGCACGAGCAAGGGAGGAGCAGAGAGGGAAACATAGATTCTGAAGCAGGCTCCAGACTCTGAGCTGTCAGTACAGAGCCTGGCTCAGGACTAGAACCCACGAACTGTGAGATCACGACCTGAGTCAAACTGGACACTTAACCGACTGAGCCACCCAGGCTCCCCAAGCTTAGTGTCCTTCTGAGCACCAACTGGTCCTGCTTGGAAATGTGTATCACAGGTATGGCAGCTAGTTTTATGTGTCAACTTAATACACTCTAACACTGCGTTATTTAATCTAGGTATTGATCTGAACATGTTTTGTAGATGTGGTTTATATCTACAATCAGATGACTTTGTGTAAAGGAAGTCATTCTCAAAAATGTGGGTGGGCCTTGTGCTATCAGTTGAAAGACTTAAAAGCACAAACTGAGGTTTCTGGAAGAATAATAAACTCTGCCTCGAAAGTTCCTGACTGAGTTACCGGACTGTGTGGCTGCCCCACAGATTTCAGGCTTGGGAAAATCACATGAACCAATTTCTTGAATGAATATGAAATATGAATTGGTCCTATTTCTCCAGAGGACCCTGACTGGTACATAAGGGATGAGTAAAGTTAATAAAAAGACAAGCATAGGAGGGAAAAGCCTGAGGCTTTGGAAATCATGGAGCCCAATCTCTCATGTTCTACAGTTGAGGAAACTGAGGCTCAGAGAGGTGAAGAAATGTGTCCAACACCACACAGCAAGTTAGGAAAGGCAGCGTCTTCAAGCCTTTCAACCAAAGTATGTCTTGCAGCCCTTTATTTTCGAGAGTTTGAATTTTTAAAATCTAGGAATGTTGCATTCTATTTCATTATATAATTGTGTTTCAAGCTTTTGAGGAATATTTTACTTTCCAAATCTTTAAGTGGCATTTCCGCTCTGGGAAGGAGTACCATGTTTGTTCTGTGGTCTTCTGGCCCCTCACATCTACCCCAGCAGGAGAAGTACAGATATTAAGGGACACACAGTGCAATGGCTTATGTCTGAAACCTTGAGATTCAGTAAAACTTCAATTCCTGGAATGCTAGGGCAAAAGAATATTCTGGAAACAGACTTTCTAATTATCAGAGAACCCAGATGTCTTTTCTGGCTCAGGCTTTGAGGAAGATAATTTACTCTTCCTTTGACTTGGGATCTTTTGATGCCTGAAGGTCGTGCTTCCCCAAAATTCTTTTTTTTTTTTTAAATCGATTTATTTTGGGAGAGTGTGCATGCACATGCACGTGCACGCAGGGGAGGGGCAGAGGGAGAGAGAGAACCGATGCAGGGCTCAAACTCACCAACCGTGAGATGGTGACCTGAGCCAAAATCGAGAGATGGACACTTCACCGATCGAGCCGCTCAGCTGCCCCACCAAAAGATTCTGATTGCAGAATCCTTTTGGTGTTGAGTCATGTGTACTGATCTGCTTTGCTCTCCTTCCTTGATTCCTCCTTTACTTCTATCCCAGATTCCCACCGGCCGACCTCTCTTCTCTCCCAGCGGCCCCTTATGGTGTCAGCCTCAGGTAGCATGAGCCAGCTCTGCCCCCTTGGCAAACACTCTCATCTCAGGAGACCTGGAAAGTCATGGGTGCTGAGCTTGGGAACTGTGCTCCGAGACTGTGCTTGTAACACTGGACAGTGACCGCCTGTACCATCTAAAGAGACAGATGGAAGGATGAGGAACAGTGTCTCCCCTGGGCCAATGGGAAACTAAATTGTAGTGCAGCATCGGGGCTGCTGAGCCATGAGGGGTCTCAAGGTTACATTTGGGGTGAGAGGTCACCAGCCAGAAGAAAAGGTGCATATCCCACCAAGTAGAGCAGGTGAACTGTGGGCAGCTTCTCACCTCGGGCAGCCACCCAACCCTTCATCCCACAGGGCGGAGCCAAGAATGGGAGGGTTCCGGTGAGCTCTGAGGGTCTCAGAAGGATGCATCTCCGCCCAGAAGGTCTCCCCAAATGCGAAGACGTGAGACATTTAAAGACCCAAGACAGATGATGGCTCACTTCACTTGCAAATGTTTCTGCATGGGGAGAACCCAAAACTGAGTCAACCTGGTCACCTCATGGGCAGGGCCAAGAGGCTAGATAAGGGGGTGGGTAGATAGAGCTGACTCGAGGGAGGGGGCATCGAAGGG